AATGTTCTACGGTTGAGGTGCCTGAAAACAGTGGTGAGTCGAGAGCTCTGATACCAGGACAGGCAGCACCGAGCGTTGAGCCTAGATTGTCTTTATTGAAGCGCCGTAGGCGTACATTAGTCGGCGATGCTTAAGCGGATAGTTTAGGCTGAGATCTTGACCCGTACAGTACTTACTACCACTTCTACTTCGGTACACTAGACTGGATCATAAGTTTCGTATGGCAACTCACCATTGATTTTGCGGTGTCATCGCATGGCATGGCGCACGGTTTCACGCACGTAAAGGGGAAGATTTCGTTCAAGTTGGGAAGGCGGTGGAATTGGCCTGTCCGAGTCAGTGCCTCGTTTGCGTGCCATGTATGCGGAAGTCTAGCATGCATGCGCGTTGGAATTGATTCACCTGCATAAGCGACTCGCGAATAGCGAGCCGATCGCAACTTCTCGCGTAGTACGTACGGTACGTAACGTACCTGTTATATCTCGAGTAGTGGGCAACTCTGAGGCAGAAAGTCCAGTTACTGGACTCCAGTAGGTACCTTCCCATGGAGGGCCTCTCTCCTGAGTAGTCTTTAGTGGAGCATTGAACTTGAGCACAACATGGGGTCCCCATGATGGGGATGTCAGTAGACCGTACTTTACGAGGGTTACGTCCGGACAAATGTATTCCGGAACACAAACTGAGTTTTCAACGATCACTTCACCTACTGTAAGGCCCGAGCCAGAGATTGCCGATATCCAGTGCGCCATAGACACCACAATCATAACTCTGGGTAAGCTTTTGATCCATACAGACTCGCTGTTCAGTTTTGGTCTGCTCATCTCCCGTTCTTTATAGGAACGGAGTTACATAGTATGCGAATTGCATAATGCAATGCATGGCCTCCGATGGCAATCTAACTGCTTCAGATGGGATGATCACAAACATGAAGTAATCTTTTGAGTTAATGGCTTAGAAATCTTTAGAGTGAATCCAAGTCGTATCATCCGATCCAAAGAAGTGGAAGCCCGTGTGGGTTGCTGCTGTACTGGCGTTGCTAACGTCGGATAGGATGGCTGCCAAGACAGGCACCTACAGCATGGGATATATCTCTCGATTCGATTCACGATCCATCGATTCGCTTCCGCGTAGGAGGACCATGACGGCTGCCGTCAAACACATGACAAGCCTTGTGCCGCACAAGGCTTCTGAAAAGGCTTTTTCTTCTTGCCGTCCTCGACCTTGTCTTGTTCCGACGCGTCTGGGTGTTTGTGATCTCCACTAAGCTGTATAACTCGACGCGACGAGAAAGGGCAAACTATAAGAGGAACTTGAGCTAGATGACTAAGGTTACGGACAGTCTAATCCATGAGACTCATGCGTGAATCACTACAACTAGAGCAACCTTAATAAGGTCTATACATAAACACCGTAGAGCCACAATGCTCACCAAAGAGAAGCCTGCTACCGTCATCGCGCACCAGCCGTTTCAGGCGCTCGCTATTTTCCAGATACTTCCAGGGTCTGGACATGGCGTTTGATTGCTTAGCAGTAACCGGAGCGTCACTAGTGGCCACGCCCTCCACCTTGCATTTCGATAAGGGAGAAGGAAGTCAGGAAGCTGAATCACTGGCAATATAGATATGACATGTAATTTCATGCTAACCAGATGTGATAGCAACCATATAATGTCATGCCCAGAAGCGCAATCTTATTGCGCCCTCCCCAGCGAGGAGTCCCCATGTAAAGCACCACTGGAGCCCAGCGCCAACTGCAAATAGCGATTTCCACCATTGCGTTGTGTTGTGCACTTGTTGCGGTTGGCGCTTGCCCGAAGATGGCGAGCGCGAGAATAGTCGGACATAGTCGTATAAACTCTGAGCCGTACTATGTTGACACACGTAGAATGCACCCCTCATCAGCGATCGCCTGAGAGTTTGTATTTGTTGGTCTCATCCGCTCTACTATATCAGACGCGTAGTATTCTGATAGGAGCAATATTTGAACACGAGTATTCTTCTTTGTTTATAAACACGATTTGGGTTGGAAGGAGATGCTCGTCCAACGTCACTGAGAAGTCCACTTCCTATGAAGTAGCGTTCTGTGCTTCGTAGCAGTTTTGTCGTCTACTCCCATGAGTCGAGACTCGTCACCCTCATCATCCTCTTCAGCTGCGGCAGTAGCTTCCTCTTCCTCAGTGACGAATCGAGTCATCCTACAGCCCAATAGGGATGTTTGGGGAGCTCGAGGGGAGGCTGCCAATCGGGTGGTTCGGCTCGTGGCAGCTGGAGGCGCCCTCAAGAGGAATGTTAGACGAAAACGAGAACCGTAATAGGACCTGGGAAGAGGCGTTTTCCGAGACAACGTGATAACCGGGCAGCTGTCTGTCAATGGAGTGGGAAGTGTATTGTCGTGGGGGAAGGGTTTAAGGAGGTTCATTTTTAGTATTGTTCGGGACAGGTCCGTTTCTTCGGGCCCGACCAAGTCGGCAACAGTCGCCGGACGGAGTGGGGGCAAACGTCAGAAGATGAGTACACGGAACTCGAAGGTGCATCCAAGCCCTTTGCGGAGAGGAGGCAGGGCGTTGGAGGAGGAGACGATGGGCGAGGCTGGTTTAGAGTCTCTGAGTAAGATAGAGGGGAGAGGCTCCTTCTAGGTTGAGGGGAACATGACACTGTGCTCGATAGCGTAGTCGGGTATAACTGTGCAAACTGGAATGGTAAAATTTCGAGCTCCAACGAATCCTGACCGATGTGGCTTGTACAGAGAATATGCGACGGAAACGTGATGCTGAATAGGCCGTTAACTTTACGGTGGTAGTGGCGTCTAGCATTGCGGCGCTTTGCCTGCTTTCAATAGTGAATACGGCAACCCGTCTCGTTTAGACCAGCTCTCTATGTTAGAGAGTGAGCCTGTGTTCTGAATGGAAGTCTGTTGCTGGGTGTCTAGGTTGAGTAGTAGCCTGTTTCAGGTGATGGATCGGTGGGTGCATGTGAGTGGGCATCGGAGAGGAGCTGGAGTCCGACCAGACCGACCAAGGCAGGGGATGTCACGCAGAAGGTGATCCGCTTCGCTCCGTCGGCTTTTTGTAATAATTTATTGTAGGCTGATGGAGAGGCAGCGGCTCCGATGAGCTCCAGTGAAGTGGCCAACACTGCTGGGTAAGCTGTCTGATACTGTCCGTAGTGAGTTTCGTTTCGAGAGGCTTATCGTTCAGGTCGTCCTCATCTTCTCAAGAAGAGGGTGTAGCATCATCATCATCAGCAGCAACATCCTCGCAGCTGCCGGTTGAGGCGGTCTCTGGAGTGCACGAGTATGTGTGGAAGCATTTCCAAGGCAATGGGGACGATGAAAGGTTGGAGATCATAGCTGAAGTTGGACAGGTGGGCGTGGGAGGATGACCTTTTGAGAGCTGCCACTGTGAGCCACGGACGGAGTTGGTAGGAGTTGTAGACTGTACGCCTCCGAAGATATGATGCCTCCTTCTTTTCTGCACCTACTTGAATAACCTTTCATTACTGCAGGAGTATAGGTGCTTCTTTTATCATGATTCTCTAACGCATACGCCTAAGGCACATTACGATTTTACGGGACCTGTGTGGTGCAGTGAGATAGTGAATCGCTGACTTTCAGGTTCTTCTAGAGGATGCTCAAAAATATGCGGATAAGGTGAGACTTGCCGTTGTCGGGCATTCTGTTGGGGAGATGGTACGGTTGGGGGGTTTTGTCAGAAGTCGATGTTAGAGGAGTTGGCTGACTTGGAGCCTATCATAGGGGGCCATGAGGCTGTTGATGAGTAATAACAGGGGGGTGTGTGTGTAGGGCTTCTGAGGGCATTGTGGGTGGTAGGTTTGTAGACTATCTTCTGTCTATACGGCCGGGTGAAGTGGAGCCGGAGAAGGTGGAGGAGAAGAATGTTACAGCAGATGGTAGTAGATGTGTGTTTGATCGTCTATTGTGGG